GTAGATCCTCCATCCCGAAATGTCACAACAAACAACACACTTCAGACTTCATCAAGAAAGGCCTATTAACTCTTTAGATCCTGCTGACTATGCCAATTTTTAGCATTAAGGAGCTACTCATTTAGGTGGCCACTTAATTTAGGGTCAGATCTAAAATGTTAATAATGCGTGCGCGCACACAAAGATAAGATGGTAAGAAAATTTTTCATAGAGGCAATATAAAAGAGTACATCACTACTGAAGAAACACCAGCTGCAAGGGGACTTCATGAGAAAAACCAGGGATCTCGAGCTAGAGTACTAGAGGAAGGACAGACACTATCTAGGAGTTGAAGATGAGGTGGGGGCATGAGGCCCCAAGATGAGATGACCCCATGAGATGGGTAGGATGAGGTGGCAGCTCCCTGCCTCTGTAGAAGCCCCTTAAGTACTGCATCCAAATAAATATGGCTTTGGGGCAAAAGGCCTACATGTCTTAGCTGCAGATGCCTATGGGTCTTCTAGGATCCCAAGGTTGTGTTCTTGATGTATCATCAATTCATTCTTCTTCAGATGGATAGATAATTCTCTGGAAGAGAAGATATAGGCCCAAGGTCAGTAGTGACACATGAACTCAGATGACTGTCTCAAGTAATTATTTCCACAAAACCTTAATTAACCATTTAGAGAGTTGCAAAAGGAGATATAAGGTGGAGGTGTCTGAGTCTGACTTCTACCTGCTTCATAAAGGAGAACATTCTCCATCAATAATATCCCCAGCACCATACACATAGCTATATAGTCAATCATGCCATCCACCACACTGCTACACCTTTTTTCTACCAATAATTGGGTCCAACCACTGGGCCAATTGACAGCATCAGGATGGATGGTGAAGAGATTGAGATTGTACACAGCTTTAGTTTGCTTGGCTCCATAGTCAACAGTCTTGGCACCAGCAGCCAGGAAATTAAAAGGCGCATTGCCATGGGAAAGTCTGCTGTTAGGGACCTCTCCAAAGTGCTGAAGAGCAGTGGTGTCTCTCTGGAGACTAAGGTGCGTCTGATACAGGCCATGGTCTTTGCAATCACCTGTTATGCATCAGAGAGTTGGACAATGACCAAGGAGGATAGAAGGAGAACTGATGCCTTTGAGCTGTGGTGCTGGAGAAGAGTATTGAGAATACCATGGACTGCTAGGAAAACAAATAGATTTGTCCTGGAGAGGGTTAAACCGGGTGGCTCCTTGGAGGCAAGGATTCTGAGGCTCCGTCTAACATACTATAGACATGTGAGGAGAGACCGGTCCTTGGAGAAGGACATCATGCTTGGGAGGGTGGAGGGACGGCGCAGGAGAGGAAGGCCCTCTATGAGGTGGATTGATTCAGTGACTGGGATAATTGGGATGGGAGTGTCAGAGACAGTGCGATTGGCACAGGACAGAGCGGAGTTTAGGGCTGTTGTACATAGGGTCGCTATGAGTCACAGGCAACTCAACGGCACATAACAACAACAACAACAATTGGGTCCATACTAAAAAAGCACAGTTCCTCAATTAGTGACAGTCTGGGTTCATTTCAGCAGTATAAATGCAAGAAGTCTCTGGTTTCCTCAATCACCCAGCAAATTTTATCTCAGATCAGTAATAAGCTTTTCCTTCAATCATCTGGCAAGAAAAACTTTTAACTGTAGCATAAATGCAAAGTTCTTCTGGTTATACCTTCTCACAGTCTCTTCACAGCAGTGCCACAGTCTCTTCACAGCATTGTTAAAGTCTCTTTATAGCAATACCACAGTCTCCACTCTCTATACACCACTACAACCATGGTACCTCACAGTGTGGAAATCTTTCTCTCTTGTATTAGTCTTGTAGCTGTTAATTATTTGCAAGGTCATGTATCCATAGTTAAAGTAACTAGAGACCATGCTCCCCAATGGGGGCTAACTCAGTGACTTGAAAAGCCAAATTTTTTTAAAACTTTGTTTTTTATTATTTTTTTGTGTGTACCGTCAAATCGGATCTGACTGGTACAGGAGGATATTGTCTCTCCTTCTCCAGTAGAGCATCTGGTGGATTTGAACCATGTACCTCTGCAGTACAACTTCTTGCCACTAGGCCACCAGAGCTCACTGAAAAGCTAATTTTTAAGGCTTCTGACACCCCAAGAATTAATAGAGGAAAATGCTTGGTCAGATAATTAGTTTTTCTTTGTTTTTTTAGGTGAAAGTTTACAAAGAGATTTATTTTCATTTATTCAGGCATACTACTTTCCTCCCTCCCTCAATTCCCTTTGTAATGCTTATGATAATTAGTTTTTAAAAGGAAAATAACTAGCAACAATATGGAGGGTCAGTGAGAAGGAAAGGAGAGAATAGAGACAGACAGGCCAGGTGAAGGATGTCATCATAAAAGGCAGTGTAGTGGTGGTTATTGTTATTGTTAGGTGTCATCAAGTTGAGAACAATTCATAACATTCTATGAACAACAGACCTGAACCTTGTCCTATCATATGCCATCCTCCACTTTCTGACACACTTCAGCCCATTGCTGCAGCCACTGTCTTCCCTCTTTTGTTGACCTTTCCAATCATTATGTTCCTTTCCAAGGAATAGCCTTTCCTAGCAACATGCCCAAAGTATGTTAGATGAAGCTTCACTTATGGAAGCAGCAGAAAGCACTCCTTGACTCCTTAGAAACCATATGGGCAAGAGCTCTGCTCTGTGTTATGGAGTTGCTATGAGTTGGAATCAGCTTGACAGCAGTGATTTTGTTTTGTCTTGTCTTATTTTTTAATGACAGAGTGCCACGGAACTTGGGTGATAGGAAATGTTTCTTAGAGGATGAGCCCTTCCTTGAGTGGAACCTTAAAGAGTGGTAGTTTCTAGATGAAGAGGGGGATATGTCTGAATGAGCAGAGTTTGAAGAGAGAAGTTGTTTGATCCTGCTGGGTAGGTGCAAATGGGATGCAAAAGGATATGGGACTAAAAGACTAGGCAAACAGATCACCTAGTGCCCTCCATGGCCTGCAGAATAAGAAAGCCACCAGGGATGTTCAAGGAGGGAAGAGGTCAGACTAGAGTTGTTACTTAGTAGGAGTCTGAACATAATGTATGATATGACTTGAAGGAAAACAAGACTAAATGCAGAAGAGTATGCCTGTATTCATTCATTCAGCAACTATTTATCTAGCACTTGCTTTTGTCAGGTACCAGTCCAGTTCCTGGGGAGACAAGAGGTAACAGTGAGGTCCATGCCAGTTCCAGCTCCCATGGGCTTTACCATTGTTGTATGGGGGTGGGGTGGGAGGTGTCAGAGACAAATGAGGAAACAAACTGTCCTGACAATCCCAGGTGAAAAATGATAAAGCTTGAAACTCCAGTAGTGGAATGAGATGAAGTAAATGGGTTTAAGAGGTTTTGTTTGTTTTTTAATGTGTGTTAGGAGTTAAGTTGGCAAATGTCACTGGTTGAATGGATGTGAAGATGAAAGAGAAGAAATCTGAGCTCATTCTGAGGTTTCTGGTTGTTTCTCTAAATAGAATACAAATTCTAAGTGGCATATTTTGCCTGCAAGCTGTGTGGTGAGGAGAGTAAATGCTCTACCTTAATGTCCTCATGGGACTAAGAGTCATACCTACCTTCTAGGGGGTTTTTGAGGATTAAAAGAACTAGTAAATGTGAAGGTAGGTAGACATTCAGCAAATGTTAGCTATTATTAGCAGTACCAACTCTGCATATAGTAGTTAGTGTGGTATCAGTGCTTGGCTAAGTCTGCAAATTAGAGACTCCTGTAAATTTGTTTGATGTGGGAAGATGGCGTCTGGTGTCTTGATGAGGGTCACATATGGAACGTTTGGTTGATTTTTGGCTTTATTTCGTCTACAAGTGGGTGTTAGCTGACTGGACTTGCCAGGTGGACTAGGGGGTCTCTGGTTTTATAGTTAACCAGTATTTGGGCATGCCTGTATTTAAAAATGCATTAGGGCCCTCAGACCTGCAGCTGCATTGCCAAATGTTAATTGATTTGGGGATGAACATTCTTTTAAGTGGTACAGCAGTGGTCTGTCTATTTGCTGTACTGAAGTAACTTGGAGTTGCTGTGATGCTGTACAACTGTGCCATAGGTGTGTCAAACACAATACTGGTTACCCATAGTGGTCAGTGTGTAGTGGAGCTACCATATTGATTCAGGTTTGGAAGCAGGAGTGGCATCCACTTTCTAAACCATATGCCTCTGTAAACTCTATGAACATAGAAAAACAGTGAAAGTTATAGAACAGGGTTCAGGTCTTTTATTCATAGGGTCACTATGAGTTGTACTCCACTTGACAGCACTTAATAACAACAATAACACTCTATGGTTACTCCATAAATGCACACAAAATGAAGAGAAACCATTCATGACACTCAGGCTAGCCAGGAGCTATCACCATCACTGAATAAACTATTAGCACAGTTAGAGATGGAAAAGTCTGATGAGAAATTCTGTGGATCTACTTTTTTGGAACCCTTGGCAAACATTTTCCTAGAATAATGGTAAGGAATTGGGCTACCAACCCAAAGTTAAACAGTTCTAATCCACCAACTGCCCTGCAATATTCTCCCATGTGGTTAAGAGCCTCTGAAAATCTGCAGAAGAGTCGACTATGAGTTGATTCAGACTCAACAGCACTTAACAACAACAACCTGAGTATTTATAGGTATAATATTTGTATAAAAGCCTTCTTGCCTGAAAATATTTTCTAAGAACTATATTTTCGTTGGAACCCTGGTGATGCAGTGAATGGTTAAACAATTGTTAACGAAAAGGTCAGCTGTAGATACCCACCAGCCACACTGTGGGAAAAGAGATAGTAGTTTGCTCATAAAGATGATAGACTATGTAGTTCACCTCATCCTATCAGTTCACTTTGAGTTGGAATCTACCAGGTGACATGGGGTTGGATAGAATATTTACATTATTTTCACTTATATGCATGCATATAAATGACCTTATTTTTCTTCATTCTTATTCTATTATTAGATTTCTGATTTATATAAGAGCCTAGAATGGAAAGAAAGTAAGATCCAGCAGCTCACAGAAACTGTAAAGACATTTGAAAAGGAATTCAGGCAGTTTTCGCAGTTGTTTGGCAAAAATGGAAACTTGCTCTCAAACATCCAGGTGAGAAAGAACCTTTCCAATTACAGCCAAGATTTGGCTTTCAATTTGTAATAAGGCTTTTAGATTTCTATATGAAAATTATTTCAAGTATACAAAATAAGAATAGTTCAGAGAATACCCAATACCCTCCACCCAGATGCACCTATAGTCAACCTCAAGATAAATACAAAAACCCAAAAGTCAACAGCTATTGATCAAGTGGGTTCTGACTCACAGTGACCCTCCATGATGTTTCCAAGGGTGTAAACTGTAAGTCTTTATGGGAAGAGACTGCTGTCTTCTTCCTACAGAGTGGCTGGTGAATTAAAACTGCTAACCTTTCAGTTAGCCCAGTACCTTATGCACTATACCACCAGAGCTCTCTCTGTATATCAATGTGTGTGTGTGTGTGTGTGTGTGTGTGTGTGTGTGTTCTTTCTGAACACTTGACAATAAGCTGCATATGTCATATCCCTTTACCTTAAAGTACATTTATATAATCTACAACAATGAGGAATTTAATTAATATAGGTCAATTATTAGTCACAGATTTCAGAAATTTGAAAGCATCTGTAGTTCTGCATTTTGTACTCAATAGAGTGAAACTGTTCTTTCACTTCAATTATAAAAGGCTTTAAGTATGACTAAAATACAGCAAAAAAATATGTTTTGGGGTCATGAGTGTTAAAATCTCACCAATGAATTTCTAATGAAAAATACTTTTAATGATGCTTATAAAAATTTATGGTGGAAAAAAAATTTCAAGACATGTGGTGTGGGTGTTATGTTTGAAACTTGAATTATCCCAGAAAAATATAAACTACATCATTTCTATATTTTATCAAAATGTTAACACACATGTACATGTGAAGTGCACAGCTGGTAACTGAAATACTGGTTGTTTGAACCCACCCCAGGAGCTCTGAAGGAGGAGGAAAACAGTTGACAGTCTGCTCTGATACAGATCACAGGCTAGGAAACCCTATGAGCTGGTGCTAGTCTGTCACTTGGGGTAAATATAAGTCACAGTAAACTTGACAGCACATAACAGCAACACACAAACACAGATATGTGAGTTTAACATATATATTTAGTTGCATTTAACATATATATCACAATATTAATTGTATTTAGTGTGCTTATATGGTAAAATCTCAATACCGACCCTATTCTAACACAAATACCAGTTTGTTAAGGCACTTCATTGCACGGATGAAGGATAAGTACACTGACATCTCTTTCATCTAAACAGAGCAAGCCAAAATTCAAGCCTTACTGCAGTGTACTTCCAACTAGTCGTGCTCAAGCCAGAACAGGTGGACCTGTTTCCAGCTCATTCTCTTGCCTTCTAGCAGAGTGAGAAAGGGAATATGGACAGGAATGTTTAAGAAAGGAAGGGAGTGATGAGGCAACGGAAGAGGCAATTGGAGACTAGAGAAAAAGTGTTGGGAAAGAGAACCGAGTGGAGAGACAAAGAGGCAGATGGAAAGTTAAAAATTTTGGAATGAGAGCTGGAATGGGAGGGAAAAATAATAGATGGCTCAAATTTTAGTAGTTTTAACTGATTTTTTTCTCTCTTCTGGGTGGTGAAATAAAGTTAAAATAAATAAAATAAAAAATTGAAAAAATAAAATTATTTAATGAGTTTCTGTGTATCGTTAAAATGTGAAATAGTTGAGCTGGAAAAATGTAACTATCATGATGTACTATAAGATATTAAGTCTTTTTATTTTCTTTTTCCTTTCCTTTCCTCTTCAACCTTATGGTCTATTTCGTCCTGAAAGGCTCTTGCAAGTCATATTGACAAATCTGCTTGGCTTGAGGCTCAAGTGTGCCAGTTATTACAAACAGCTAACCAGCAACAAAATAAACTCGACTTGAGGTCTTTGGTGGAAGCGATTGATATGATTAAACAGAAAATCACCGTGCTAGAAACCAATGATCAAAGATTAGGTACGTGTCATGTTTTACTTCTCTGTTGGTGGCCTGCTTGACTGTGTGTCTTTGTGAAGCAAGCAGACATCTGGGGAAATGGTGAGCCACAGCTGTCCAGAATAAACAGTGGTAGATTTTGAAGAGATTAGCATCAGGCATTCTGGCTACTGGAGCAAGAATGCATGAGGCCTGTGGAAGGGGGTGGAAGCAGGCAAACTTTAGAAATGGGCCAGGAAATTCCAAGGACAGGGCGTGGTGGTTTTTAAGAATGTGAAATCATGAAAATATTGAGGGAGATATGTGCTTACACTTTTTTTTTTAAGTATAGTAAAATAGGCAATGATTTAACTCCTGAAAAAGCACTTGAATAGTACCAGGGATAACAAGGAAAGGAAAGTTGTCTAAAAATAAGTAGTTAAGTAAAGGGAGTAAAAAGATATAGAAAAATTGAATCACAGTATACAATTTTATAAAACCTAAAAACTCAATGCTGTTGAGTCAGAACTCACTTATCACTCATAGTTGACCCTTCAGAGAGTTTTCAGACACTGTAAATCACATGGAAGGAGATTGCCTGTCTTTTTCCTGAAGAACAGCTGTTGCATTTGAACCTTGTACCTTTCGGTTGACAGCGCAACTCTACCTGCTAAGCCAACATACTTCCCTAATATATATATAAGATTGTTGTTGTATACTGTCCAGTCAAACCAATACATAGCTGACCCTCTACTCTAGTGGGTTTTCAAAGTCAGTTAATAGCAAAGGAGGAGATTGCCTATCTTTCTATCAAGGTGGAGCTGGCTGATTCAAACCATGTGCCTTTAGGATTTCAGTGCAGCTGGTGGATTTGGACTTCGGGAGTGCAGTG